TGTTAATGTTTCACGAAACACAAATCTCTATCAGTGCTACAAGTAGCTTCTTATCAAAGTAAGAAGACACAATTATCAAATTAAATTTGCATCAGTAACCATATTTTAAACCCTTCTCTCCATGTGCTGAATAACATTTATAGAAGTGCTCTTCAGCAGTTCATTGCAAATTACCAAATGAAAATGTAATTGAATTTTACAGGAAAACCTAAACACACAGCAGTATAGTATGTACAGGCACTGTGCTGTCATGACTGAAGATAAGATTTCTTCATTTCTCTAGTTAACCCTTTCTTCGAGGCTGAGCCAGCAGGCCTGGTGGTGGGGGTGTCAGTTCAGAATCTGGTGAAGACTTTCGATGGAAGTTTCCGGCCAGCTGTAGATGGGCTGAACATCAACTTCTATGAAGGACAAATCACTTCCTTTCTGGGCCATAACGGAGCTGGAAAGACCACGACCATGTTAGTCCTAATGCACATATCTACACCTAAACACACTAACTATCCTAACTTTACATGCTCTGAAAGGTGCAATGGAAAGTCATAAGACAGCCTTATCTCCTGTAACTTTGTATATAGCCAGAAGCAACTCACTACTGTAGAGCAGGTGTGAGCCTGGCCAGTACCTGGATGGGAGACCTCCTGGGAAAGCTAAGGTTCCTGTCGGAAGAGGTGTTAGGAGGACAAGTAGGAATCTCTTATCCTGAAGTCTGTGTGGATCCTAATGCCCCAGTATAGTGATTGGGACATTATACTGTAAAAAAGGTGTTGTTATTCGGATGAGACATAAAATAGTCCTGACTTCCTGTGGTCTTAAAAATCCCAGAATAGGGGTGTTAACCCCCCAGTGTCCTGGCCAAATTTCCCCCTGCCCTTCACCAATCATGGCCTCCTAATAATCCCCACTGATGAACTTGGCTTCATTATTCTGTTCTCCTCCCCACTGATAGCTGATGTGTTATGAGCTGCCGTTGCACCATCCAGCACACATTGGTGGTGAAGGAGGGGAGTCCCCATTTTCTGTTAAACTCTTTAAGTGGAGTGTCCAGAAAAAGCGCTATATAAGTGTGAGGATTATTATTATTGTGATTGGACAAAGATCTAATTAATAGATAAATCTCTGTCTATGTCAGTCTTTATCTTATCTTGAAAAGTGCATGTATCAGCATTTCTGATGATGAAAAGATATTAAGTTTTGGGGACCAGAATCATATTTTTTTTTCCAGGTCTGTCCTTACTGGCTTGTACCCACCAACCTCAGGAACTGCTTACATCAATGGGAAGGATATCCGCACTGACATTGATACGATTCGACAGTCCTTGGGCATGTGCCCACAGCACAACATCCTGTTCCACCAGTACGTTCAGGTTTTACTGAGAAACATTTGTTCTGTGCTGT